AGAGAGGTCACCAAGATATGGTTCCCCCTGGACTGCAGTTAAGCCAAGTTGAAATTCACCCAGTCTAGTTTCAATGATAATTATACCGCGGAAGGTTCTTAGACAGTCTGAAGTCTCGACTAAAGGTCTCCAGACCCTCTGAATCTAAATCCCCAGCGGGCGAATAACCTCCACCGGAGTAAACAGACTGAGGCCCTAACATGCCAAACCTCCTTTACTGGAGTGAATCCAGTACAGAATAGTGAACCGACTCCTCGACTAAAGTCGTCAATTCACTACCTTCAATTAAGGGTGCTTTATCAACCTAGGCAGATATTCTCCTTCTAAGTCAAAGCAGAAACTACAGGAATTTGATTAGGATTCATGCAATTCAGAAAATCATGCCTCAATTGAATATAATCAGTCTCAAAGAACTTGTACATAGGTTCATACAACTAGACCTAACATACAAATATAGGGTTCTTCATACCCAGGTGAGTGAGAGAGTTTACTCCATAGAGACTAAAGAGAAACCTGCTTCAGATGCGGAAATCATTCTGTGATGGATGAAGATCTGATTCTGGTAATCAATTGGCACTCCTCCAAGCTTCCACAGAGCTCCAATGGTATTGAAGATCGATTTAGGGCACTTGGAAGTTCTGTTCGTCACTCTCTCTAGGTTTTCTGCTCTCTATCTCTGAAATCTCCTTTTAACCCGCGACTGGCCAAAACACGGTCGAGGACACGGTCGTGTTTTGCTTTTGTCTACCTGTGTTTTGCCTCGTGTTGCAAACACGCCCGCGTCGATCCAAAACACGGTCGTACCCAAAGAGTGACACAGTCGTGTTCTGCTCCAATGGCGCCCTTGTTTTGGACTCCTCAGCCGCCACCACAAACACGCTCTCGGCAGTAAAAACACGGCATGGGGAACACGGCCGTGCTTTGGAGTGGGTTGCCTGTGTTTTTGCCCCAACTTTACCGAACGACCTCTAAATGCCCCGAAACTCATGCCTAGCCCTTCCTTCGACGTCTAGGACCTGAAATGTGATAAAATAGCACAACCCAGCGTAAAATAGGCCAAAGATACACGACTAGGAGCCGCAAACGGATAAGAAATAAGGGTGTAAACATGTTCAAATACATCGTTATCACTCTCTATATCCCCCAAAGAAAGAGAAAAGAAAAGCAAAAAAAAAAAAAACAATAAGAGGGCAAAGAAGAAAAGAGAGTGGTCACCAAAATATAATAAAAGTTTAACATGCTCTTAGAAGTGTTACTTAGCATGCAAGCTATATGAACACTTACATGTTGCTGACCTCTACACTCTTGTGCTTAAAATTGAATAGAAAATGTAGTAAGAAAGAATGGATATGGTTTGGTGATTTTTTGTGGTTTGGAATAGTGGGAAGTGAGGTTTTTGGCCGATGCTAGTGGCCGTTGTTTGTAGGGAAGGTTCTAGTTGAAACCATAGAACCTTGTGTCTTAGGTTGAAGATGTGGAACCTCATGTTTTGTTTACCATCACCCAAAAAGCCTTTTTCCCATGTCCTAGACCCTAGCTAGTCATTTGAACCTTTGTCTAAGACCTCCGGACACGCTAGCAACGACACCCATCTTGTGAACTCTAACATTTAGTGGTTACCATCATGGTATAGGGACGTTAGGATTGAGCGTGAATATGCACATCTTTTGCATCAAATGGTCCCGACCCCACTGGTCGAGAGTGAGTGTTTCATTCATCATGTTTTTGTTCATTTCTTATACCCTGGTGAGGACCCAAGTTGCTCAATCATTCATTCCTATGATGTGATCTTTATGCATGAGTAACTGTGATTGGTGAGTCGTCGAGGCATGTTGTGTGTTGGTTGATGAATAATGTGAGAACTCTTCTTTTGCACAATCTTAATACATTTGAATGTCGTTTTTGGTGGTTGCCAATATTACTTTGTTTTCGTCCATAGGTTGGTATCAAATAACCATTATGATTCATTCATTTTGTGCCCTATGACATGCCCCAAAAATTGTGTTGAAAAAGAAGTTGTAAGCATACCTTGTTTTGTACTTGGTTTGATTGGGGACAAGCAAACATCTAAGTGTGGGGGAGTGATTCACGCTCAAATGTACACATTTTACCCCTCATTTCTTATTTGTTTAGCTTAGTATTTCATCGTTCCTCGACATGTTTCACGCTAGGTTGTGCTTGTTTTGATACATTTCAGGTCCTAGCACGTGTGGAAGGGTCGAGGACGAGTTTTGGGATAATTGGAGGTCAAAAAGCGCAAAAACAGAAGAAAAGTCCGAAGTCCGTGACAATTGCCCCGTAATAGTGAAGTGAAGGCGTCCAGGAACAATTTCAGTTCACGGTATGCTAAGAACGTAAAGAGGAGGCATGGGCCGTGAACATCAAGGCGTCCAGGGCACTTACCGAAGTTACTGACGCCAGGCGAGTTCACGGTCTCTAAGACCGTGAATTGGGGCCACTGACCGTGAACCCAGGAGAGTGAAGCGGTGCGTTTTGGACGACACTGAGTTCACGGACGCGTTTAGGTGTTCACGACCGTGAACTGGACAACGCGTTCGTGAACTAGTCACTCTTGGGCAAATATGAAGACAACAGCGGGGAGAGAGAAGGGAGAAGAATTGGTTTCTTTCTATAGGGTTTCGACCCAAAACACCATAGGGGAGTTCTAGATAGTGAGAGAAGGATCTTGGAGCTTAATTGAAGGCATTGTTCAAGCTTGGGAGCAAGGAATCAAGCCTAGAAGAAGAAGATCTAGAGGTTTCTTTGTAATATATATCTCTCTCTCTCTCTCTCTCTCTCTCTCTAGAAACTCACTCTTTTCTCTTGGGTGTTGTAGATCCCTAACTAATACTTTGTAATTAACTATTTGGATTGAATGATTTTGTGTAGGTTTGCATCAATTTGAGTATTAGAGGTGTCTTCATGGTGATTGTGCTTAGTTTGCTTTCCAAATCTTGTGTGCTTGCCTAACCTAGATTAGAGGAAAACCACACCTTTTTAGGTAGGCTTGACACGCTTGGTTTTCCTGGGCACTTTGTGCCTACTATCTAGGTTAGAGATGAGCATCCCCCTTGACTCAAGTTTGCATCTAGGTTGGTTGTGATTAAGCCGCTCAAACTCCGGTTTGAGGGAGAGACCTAGGCAACCCCTAGAGACTGAGTGAGAGAATCGATTCCGTGACAAATCGATCTCTAGTGCATCCATCCCGTGACAAATAGATCTCTAGTTGCTCCTCCTAGCGGTTCCCCTAGACTTGGTGAGTGGATCGATCCCGTGGCAAATCGATCGCTAGTGAATTGATTTCTTGAAGAATCGATCACTAGTTGCTCACCTCGCGGTTCACAACCACCTACACCACACGACTCCATTCAATCCAGCGAGTCATGATAGCTAGTTAGGGGGAAGCAACTCCTAGGTGAAGCTCCCTTATTTAGAATTTTCCTTTATCTACTTTCCTTGCTTGTTTTCATTTGTAGTTTTCATAGTTTTAAACCCAAAATCGTTTTGCTAGATAATAATTTAAGCGATTGAAGTAGGGGTACATGGACCGGCCCAAGTTGACAATTTAAATACTTGCCCTATACTGCACCCGACTAGAGTTTAAAAACTTGGGCTCTAGTTGGGATTAATTTATGGTGTAGTTTTGTGTGAGTCACTATCACAATAAATTAAAAAATAAATAAAACATAAAAAATAAATTCGGCTCCATTGATCGCCGGTAGAGGTGGCAAATGGATTGATCCATGGATTGGTAGATTGGATTGGTGGATCCATGGATCAAATGGATTGGTGGATCCATGGATTGGATCAAGTGGATTATCCATGAATCCAAATGACATCCTCAACCAAGGACCAATACGTAAAATGTGATAAGCTTAGGTACTAAAATGTCATAATGAAAATTTTTAGGTACCAAAACGTAATTTACCAGCGATATTTTTCGTATAAAAAATTAAATTTTGGGTTGCCAAAATGTAAAATATAAAAAGTATAGGTACCAAATCATAATTTTCCATTTGGATCCATGGATCAATTCATGAATCCACTAATCCAATTGGATTTGAATCAAATGGATTGGATTAAGTGGATATTTTTAATAGATTGATGTATTGGATTGGTCATGGTGGATTGGATTGAGAATTGCCACCTCTGGTCGCCAGACACAGGTTACCCATCCTCCTCCCCTGCTGGCTTATGACCTCCTCGACGATCAGCTTAATGTCTGCAAATCAGAATTACTCAGCCCAGCAAAACCAAACCAAATCTTATTACATCCAGTTAGGGATGGCAACTTTGCCCATACCCATGGGTTTCTTACTATCTAACTCAATTGGGTTGGGTATGAAATCCAAATAGATGGATATGGGTAAAGTTTGATGGGTTTGTACCCATACCCATTTACTTTGGGTTGAGTTGGGTTTATATCAAATGGATTTGGGTTTGTACCCATGCCCAAATATAAATTACAGTTTGGTACCCAAACTTAATAGATATGCATATTTAGTACCTAAATTTAATTTTTTTTGCATATAAGTCCTCAAAATATCGATGGAAAATTACGTTTTGGTACCTGAATTTTTTGGTCTTACATTTTGGTACCTAAACTTTTTAAATTTTACAAATAGGTCCAATTTTTGCATGTGTAGTTAAAACACCCTCAAGTAAATGGATATCCATATCCAACCCATACCCATTTAGATTATAGAAGCAATATTTATACCTTACCCAAACCCATCTATAAACCCCCAAATCCATATGCACTTCACCCATACCCAACCCATTATCAATGGGTCTACTTGAATTTGGCTATAATTACCCATGGGTGGTAATTTGCCATCCCTACACCCAGTAACCGAAAAGGCAATAACTCTCGCAACGCAACAGAGATCCTCAGCGGAAATACACAGTAAGCTGAATTAAAATATCATAAGCGGAATTTGATAGTCCAGACGTGGGCGAGGTTCAAGTCGGCAAGGCCGGGTCGTCAGCGGTGGCGGAGGAAGAAGGGACAGGTGGCGTCGGAAGGGTGCTTCACGGTGTACTTGGTGGGGAGAAGCAGAGATTTTTTTGGTGAAAACAGAGTACTCGAGCCACCCCTATTATGGGTCTTGCTGGAGGAGGTGGAGTCAGAGTTCGAGTATAGCCCGGAAGGCCCGCTACCGCTGCCGTGCCAGGTGGCGTGCTTCTGGAAGGTGCTTGTGGCGATGGACTCGGAGGATGAGAGGAGGCAGGGGAACGGGAAGAAGAGCTGCCTCACAGGACCACCGAATTTCGTACCTCGGGTAGGGTAACGGGAGTGGGGAGACGCGGTCGGGTACCCGGTCCGACAACCAGGCGACCGCTGCCGGGGAATTTATTTCTATGTTTTTTTTATAAATTTATTGGGATGATGAGGTGGAATTTTAAAAGATTAATTTTTATTATTATTTCAAAATGCCACGTCATTTATTTAACGGTCAACTCTCAGAGTTGACTGCCACGTCAGCTAAAGTTAACGGAGACAAACAGAGAGTGACCAAACTTGAACTTTTGAACTAGTTTGAGTAACTACAGATAGAATAAATTAATTATAGTGACAAAATTTAACTTGTTAAGTAATTCTAGTGACCAAACTTGCAATTTACCCCTTTCTCTTTACATTTTTGCATTGTATTATTATTATTTATAACTCCCTACTAGACTTTCATTATTGGGCACTAAAGGCCATTATTAGAATTTAATTAAAGTTTGTAATTCACTGATAAACGTGAGTGGAGAAGGGAGGGAAAACCCTAGCGAGTGACTCCGATGACCATCCTGGGTTCACGGACTACCCCCTCCCCCCCGGGACGTCGAAACCCCCTGATCATGTACCAGGATCCCGTTGTGGCCCGATTGGAACGTCGTCACCGTCTAGGAAAGGCGAGAGGAGAGAGACACAACAAGACAAGAAACTGCTAAATCCGATGTGTGCCAACCCGTGGTTTGATGCCCAACCGGAGCTGCAGGACCATTCCAATGAGGAGTTGATGGCTGAAGCATCAGGCTTGGGAAGAGAGGGAGAAAAACCTATTGAAATACCATCATCAGCATGGAACGCGGGTACGAGAAATTTTTTCAATGATTTACGTATGCATGAGGAGTACTATTTTGTAGAATCCAACTCGGAGGATGTAGCTGAGGCAATGCGGGAGGATGACCTTGACGATGAAATTACAGAGGATGATGATCCAACATGCCCTACTATTCCATTCAAAGAAATGGAGAAGCAACGTTGGAGACGACAATAGCGATCTGCGCTTTTGTGAAGGTGTTGGGACAGACCTATCCATTCCCGTTGATATCGAGAAGATTGGAAAGCCTATGGGGAAAATGCGGGATATTGCAAATATCCAGCCTCTCATTGGGATACTATGTGGTAAGGTTTACATCGGAATTTGACTATGAGCAGGCGGCGGCAGGAGGCCCTTTGATGCTGGGGGATCATTACATTACCGTACGTCCCTGGCAGAAGAATTTTGATCAGAAGGATGCAGAAGTGACTACCACAATTGTGTGGGCTCGGATGCCTGGTCTACCGATTGAGTTTATCAATCGTGAGGCAGTGCTGCAAATTGCCTCGAGAATTGGCAAACCGATCAGGGTGGACAGGGTTACCCAAACAAGCGAAAGAGGGCGGTTTGCTAGGGTTAGTGTGGAGGTGAACCTCAGGAAACTGCTATTGTCTAAATATAAGATCGAGGGCAAGACCTACTACGTAGAACTTGAAGGTCTGCACCTTATATGCTCTGAATGCAGGCGTTATGGACATGTTAAGAAAGGCTGCCTGTCGACAAATCCACCCAAGAGGAAACCTACTCCACCCATGGAGTCTGACAAGAAAGTACAGGAAGTAGGAGACCCTACATATGGAGAATGGATGGTGGCAAAACCTCGAAACATGAGGAATCAAGGAAGGAATAAGGGACCCAATGGGTCACAAGCGCAACAATCAAATCCCTCTTTTGAGGGATCACGGTTCAGAAACTTGGCAGATCATGATACTGCTAGTGAGGAGGATGTGGATGAGGAGATAATGATGGAGGAACCGATGAGGAGGGAGCAGATGGCAAATGTGGGTGATGATGAAGTGACAACCAGTGCGCAAGAAAGGAACAATATATGGGTTGTGATGGCGGACAAGGAACAGTCGAAGGGTGTCACAAATGAGAAACATGTTCAACAGAGTGTAGTGGATACGAGTAACCTAGTGAAACAAATGAAGAAACACCTGGTAATGAGGTAACAAGTGAGCAGAATACGGACTCTTAGAGTGAGGGTGGCAAGCATGGGAGCCAAGTGAGGTCGATGTCACAGTACCCATAAACACATGGTAGGGTTCATTACAAGGGAAGACAAAAGTACAAGGTAAAGGTGGGAAGCAGAAATTTGAGGGAGCCTCCAATGGAAACCTAGTAGGGGTCGGATTAGGTACAAACCAGAAAAAAGAATTGGCTCGAGATGGGAATCACAATAAGCAAACAGAGAAGGGGAAGGTAGCAAGTGCAAACAGGAAGTCAAAAGCTGATGGTGCGGGGAACCTATCCCCTCAAAAGATGATGGAAGTCGGGGACAGATAGGTGTGTTGTAGGTGTAATTAGATGGATCTAAGCGGTCAATATCAAGATGAGAAATTAACATCATCTACAAACACAATATTCTCTAGCAATCTTTTCAATATTTCAATAACTTCTTGAGCATTGAGCTATAATTCGATGAACTTGTGAGTTATTTTTTTTTATTGTTAAGTGTCAAATAAGTTATTGATCATTTGAACTAAAGCAATAGTATCATAGAAAAACTACTTAATTCATTATTTAATACTAAATTATATATTTGCTTCTAGCTCCTAGACATGCTTAGGTGACACCTAGGCAAGCTAGGCCACCTATGTGTGCCTATGCGCTAGGGAAGACACTAATGTTCGTCTAAGCCTAACATCTTCTTGAACATTGGGTTTATGTCAAGATATTCTCATCACCCTCATGAAATAATTAAGGGGGAAAACCCCTAACTTCCTATAATTTGTACAATTTGAGCTCCATCCGAGGATTATGAGTAAGTTATGCACGCCTTCAAGAATTTAGGTGCGTAACTCAAACTTGTGTTCTTTTATTTTTCAAAAAAATTATTGATCATTTCAACATGTTATATATCACATCAGTTTAAGTGTATACCAATTCATAAACACAGAAAAGGCAACAAAAACTTAAGGTTGCCCTTAAATTTTAGAATTAAACATCAATCACTTTTCTATTGTCTTATAATCCTTTGGACTTTGCTACAATGACATGCATGTCACGGTTACATGCACTTTTCGGTTGACCTCATATAGGATTAGGTCGACCTAATCTGTTGTTTCTGTGTAAAAACAGTTTCATGATGCCTACTTTGGAGATTCATATCTTACAATTGGCTAGATGGAAATTGGAGATTAAATGCTTGTTTTGAAGCTGAAGTGTCCCTCTACACATTATAGTACTTGGGAGCTCAATAGAAAGTCCAGAAGACTATTTTTAAACCTAACCAAAAGGCTATGCCAAAACTGGGAAACTGCCTGAAAATGGCTGTCTGGCAACGTGTTTGTCAAGCCTACTTTGGAGCTCAATTTGAGAAGCATGGATGCGAGTCAAGTCCAGGGGCCTCTACCACATTAAATTACGTATATTTTTACTCAAAGGCAAGGCATTGGATGAAAGATTGAATATCTTTAAGGCTTCAAAAAAAAGGCTCGAAGTTGCTACGAAGGCTGTTTTTCTGGCAGCTTGTTTGTGCTCGAAGTCTGCCAGAATACAACCTTCATAGCAACTTCGACCCTTTTGTTTGAAGCCTTACAGATATCCAATCTTTCATCCAATGCCTTGAATTTGTATAAAACCATACCTAATTTAATGTGGTAGAGGCTACTGGACTCGACTCGCATTCATGCTTCTCGAATTGAGCTCCAAAGTAGGCTTCACAAACACGTTTCCAGACTTAGCCATTTCCAGACAGTTTCCCAGTTTTGGCATAGCCTTTTGATGAGGTTCAAAAATGGTCTTCTGGACTTCCTATCGAGCTCTCAATCACTTCAATATGTAGAGGGACACTCAAGCTTCAAAACAAGTCAGTAGTCTTCAATTTCTATCTAGCCAATTGTATGATATGAATATCCAAAGTAGGCACCATGAACTGTTTTTACACTGAAACAACAGATTAGGTCGACCTGATCCTATATAAGGTCGACCGAATGCTAAATGAGGTCGACTAGATCCTATATGAGGTCGACCGAATTCTAAATGAGGTCGACCGAATCCAAACTGAGGTCGACCAGAAAGTGCAAGACACCGTGACATGCATGTCACCGTAGGCACACCTTAATCCTTTTTTTTTACCTTAATTACTAAATCATTAACTCTCAATGTTAAAATCAAAAGACCGCACCCCATATATATCCCAACTCTATAAATAACATAATAGTTACAACTCTATCAATTTTATGAACACATTTAAAAATGAGATTATAAACACTACATTTTAGGGTTAATTACATGTTTGGTCACTAAGATTACAAAAAACGTTCATGTTTGGTCACTGAAAATATTTAAATCCAATCTTGGTCACTCAAATTAGTTAAATGGTCCAAGTTTGGTCACTCTTCGTCCAACTCCGTTAAATATGTCTGATGTGGCAGTCAACTCTCAAAGTTGACCGTTAACTCGGTGACGTGGCAATTAAAAAATAATAAATAAAATAAATTTTAATCTTCTACTATTTCCAACTCATTTTCACAATAAAGTAAAATAAAAAAAAATTTGAGTTGGAAATGAGTGACCAAGATTCGGCCACGGATATTGTGATTGCAATGGTTATGGTCAACAGTGATGTGGCGGAAGTCTCATCTGTGAGTGGAGAGATTGGGGAAGTAGCCATACGGGGAAAAGCTCACCGACGACGGGTTAGAGTTGTAGACTGAGAAAAACTTTGACGATTGCTTGCTTCTACGGACATTCGCCCGCTCCAACAGCTCCGTCATCTCCCTCGTCGCCTCCCGATACTCCACCGCGAAATTCGGCGGCGCCCCTCCTCCCTCCCGCCGCCGCCCCACAACATGGCCAGGGTCGAATCGACCACCACCTTCATCGCCGCATCGAACATCCCCGTCACCTCGCCGGCGCGAATCTCCCGCACCCCGCCTCAACCGCTCCCCTGCCCAGCGCGTGACGTCCAGGGGCCCGCTGCTGAGAACCTCCCGGAAAATGACCTTCCGCAGCCCGACCCAATCGGGGCCGTA